ATAGCGTGACTCACTGGAAGCGAGGTAAGACACAAGTCCAGCTATATCCTCAGGTTGCCCTATGTAGTCCAATGCTGATCGGCCCACGTTCTTTCTTCGTTGTCAGCCAGGCGATCCACAACTGCGGTGGAAACATACCGTCTTAATCAACTCGTTCACATCTCCTTGTTGGAGTGCTGCATCTCTGCCTAGTACGATATGAGCCGCGACGGGCGAGTTGCAGATGTATAACACGTACACATTTCAGTATCGACCGCGCCTACACATTGGGATGAATAAGCGATCCGCCGCGCCGCAAATGTCGAGAGATACAATCACCTGGCGCGTACGCATTGACAGTGATCCCAAACTTTCCCAGATCGAGGGCTATTTTGGAGAGGAAACAATGAAGAACGAGTTGAATAACGGCCGTTAACCACGTACCGGCTCCCTGGGTAAGTCCCCGAACAGCCGACTTCGTCGCACCATACAGCGACATCATCGGTAAACCTGCCATGGTCCAACATGATGTTCCAGAGGAAGTTTCGACACAGACCTTGCTTTCCAGCCGAAGAGGAGCACCCAATGATCCGTCCTCCGCGCCCTTGTTTGACCATCTGCTTTGCGGCGTACTGATAACAGAGAAAGCATCCCCGTGTATTAACAGCAAAGCTTCGATCCCACTGGTCTACAGTATCTGCGTGAAAGAGTCTGCGTAACGGAGAGAAAGAGCGAAGGGTGGTCTTACGTACAATCAAGTATGTTCGCGTTACGACATATCGCTGCATTGGCCACCATCTATTAAGATAGTCATGAGGTCCGCCTAGTTTCAAAGGATACGAAACCAACGTACGACATCCAATCCGCCTAGAGTATTCACAGCGACTTCTACCATGCTTTTGACGTCGATTTCACTCGATACGTCGCCCGGAAAGACGGCTGATCGGCGTCCCTTCCTGATGATCTCTTCCTCCACGCCCTTCAGCTTTACAATCTTCTCTGGTAGTGGGAGGTCGTTCACGACGACATCGAACCCGTCGTCTGCTAATCGAAGAGCGACTGCTTTCCCAATACCTTGGGCAGCTCCGGTAACGATTGCGACGCCTTTTGTCGATGACATGACAGACAGAAATGAGAGATAAGGACCGAGGTTAAAGGAAGATCGTTCGATGCTCACCTAATTATAAGGTGTCGGAGTTTGAGGAATTCCGGAATATCGCTTTCTTAGCTCAGCGGATAAACGCCCTCGAACAATCAGAAGTTACTTTCCAGATGAGGCCTGGGTCAACTTCTTTTCGGAATCCCATACTGTTAAACAATACTGAACTAAGAAAATCAGGGCCAGTAAATTCTAAATTGTTGACATAGCTGACCAGAATGATTTTGCTTCATGCCTTCGACCCTTTCGATCTATGGCCACTGTCACTCACTATCTCTCTACAACTATCTTAATTCTCGTACCTGCTTTATATGCTTCGGTCGTTTTTCATCAGGACACCACCACAAAATGTAGCGTTCGGGAGCAGAATCAGCTGGTTGACCGCCCGGAAGCCGCCCGACAATACGATTAACGTTGCCTAAGGTGCCCTCCGGGTCGGACAGTGGCATTGGAACTATCTAGAAGGATCATCTGTCGCAGACATTCAGTAAAACTCCAGAACCGCAGACAGAAGGAATGAGTAACAGGACAGACAAAATTTAGTTGCTGTTGCCAGCGAACGGGCGTCTTTTTCTTCTTCACCGATGATCTTGCGATGTCCATCAAATTTCAACAGAGTGTCAGGCCATGTTCAAACTCCGGTCGTGACAGATGCTTGACAGGAAAGCAAGCGCTTATATGAAAGCGCTGAGGCAAGAAATGAGGGTGGCGGGGGGGCCAAGAAATGTCGGTAGAGTACTTGAAAAACAGCAGGACTGTCCGAATATGTAGCTCAGCAAGGATAAGATGCTGAAGGTCAAAGACAGAGGACTGTACATGTGCAGAAAAGGGTCAAACTGGTAAAGAATGCAAAGAAACCTTTCAATATTGTAACCGTGGACATGCGATCCCCGTATTGCGCGAGAATAGCGAGAGAATAGAAGTTAGCCGGACTATATACGATTGGTCATGCATGAGAAACGATAATCCATGTGAAAAGGATATGTATGGTGAGTCAGGAAAGGTTTCGGTGTTGGAAGTGAGTAAGACCTCGGATATAGATGATCTAATCTTATCTCCGACTTGACACCCTACCATCCCCAATTTTGTTCGCCCGACGCCGACTTGCGCACTATCATTCTCCCGTCCATCGCTGCCTGCGCAGGTACGACGCGGCCACGTGGTGAAAAATGCACCATCGTGGAAGTTAAGAAAAGGGAAAGCATATGGACTGAAGATATGCCACTTCAGGGCAACGAAGTATTCGAGAAAGCTGACACGGGTTGAAGAGCAAAGAATTGACACAGGAAATTCAGGAAAAGTCTGATACCCTCTCGTCGCCGTTAAAATCTATAGATAATGCAATTCCACCGCATTTTCATTATGAGTACGGTCTTTAGAGTCCCATGCCACATGAACGTATCTCCCTATCTGTAGCTGGCTAAGAAGAAACGTCTTCACCGAAGAATCCATCGGTGGCGGGTAAGGCATCATTATTCATTAATCATGAACAATCTGCTAAGCATATTTATTATTTCTGCTCATTGAAGGACCATAATGGTAGCGCGCCAGTGTCCTATGAATTAAATACAGTGCCCACCACACAGAAGGCCTTGTCAACGTGTGATATTCATGATATAGATATTGATAAAAATCTCTCCGTTCTGGAGTCATATTACACCTTGTTGTGCTCCATGATTAAAGCTCCCGTGCTGTCCTTTACTTGCTATCGGTGACATTTATCAGAATAGAAAGAGGGGCTGATACATCTGGTCGGTTCCTTCCCTTCTACAATTCAGTATGGTTTCCCAAATCTAACGTTCCAGATTTCTTCCATGGTCAAAGCCTTCCAAACGGAGCAGAGCTCACGTTCGGGAGCCGAAGCGTCATTTACGTCTGGTAACCTTTGGTACCTGTTCTCACACAAATAAAGCTCATTTCTCAGGCATGGAGGTTGACCCTCTTCCCCGGACATGACTTACCTGAAAATACGGTCCTATGAGGCGTCTATAAGCGAGCAGGTGAATCATCATATATAAAATGTTGAGCCGGCGGCAACCAAAACATGATCCTGGAGATGATTCTTGAGCTACAGAGGGGATCGTAGTGCTATAACACTCCAGGATACCCACCGTTGCCGATATCTCATGCGGTACTCGCTACACCGAATGAACATCATATGCTGACCTACCCTGAGGGCATATATCTCGATCCCCTCCCACTCTGAAACGACCCAGGGCTGTGATAGCGCGCTATTTCATTTCCCATTTACTTTGCAACGGCCCTCAATAACACAAAGACATCGTCTCTATCGTGGTCTTTCTCTGTATATTCATTACCCTGTGACTGGCCTTATACCAGAGTCAATGGTCCCCGTTTATTATCAAAATTCGTTGGGGGCAAAAGTATCGCCTTTGTCCTATTCTCACCCTTAGTCCATTAGGACCTGTCGATCTGCCAGTCGTCGCCAAGATGGTGTACCCATGCCAATGTTGATGGCCCCTGGGCCAACTCGGGAAGTGACTGAAGATGACCTGTACGGATACATTCTGTGTAATCTTGGCTCGAGAATATGGTGCATTACCTCACTATTCAGCTGATATTTAGTGTTTGTGAAGACACCACTTTCTTGCAGGTCGGTTTCTTCGATTCATGACTGCTTCATGCATCATGAGCTGTGTTTCCAGTCTTCTATCTCCAAAGGGGAAGTGTCCGCACTTCGCCTTCAACCCCATTGGGTCCCCGGTTTCTACGGACCCTATGGATTACTCCCCATCATAACCCTCAACCATGGGTGTTTTCCCGCTACCCCGGAAATGAACTTCTGGTGTCGTGACATTGCGAGGGATCGCAAAGAAATTTATGGCATCCCTCGATGCTCGCTCTTCTCAACATACCTGTCGGCTTCAAGCTGTCCTTACTCTCAGTGTCTTATGTACCCCAATCTAGGCTTTCGTGTACCTCCAGCGTAGACATGATTAGGTGCCTTCGATAAGATCCATATGCCAGTATCTCGTTGCTTCATGTGCTGTTCTACGACTAAACTGTCGTTCCTATCATCATGGACAAGCCTCCCCACTTCTGTTCAGGTCCCCGTCGTATCCTAGTAAAAGGTGCGAACATAAATACTTAATTCGTCAAGAAGCTTTACTAAGAATGTTGGCGCTGCCGTTTTCAAGCAGCGGAAGTACGTGGTACGTTCATTTGTGGATGCTCTCCCTGGATCAATTCTCTGTAGTACGTCAGGTTAAATGGATTTACGATGATTGCGGTCTTACCAGCGTACCGGATGGTGGAGTGAGCCAGTTCGACTCATAGGCCAATGTGGCCCTCATATCGTATAATAAGAAGGCTTTTGGCTGTACATGCATGAATTATCAAGTATGAGACCATAACATCAAATCCCCTCACTTAAACTATACGTGTCATGATCCTATACAACACGGATCTTACTGAATCCTCCATTAAAGATATCATTCCACAATGGAGACGCGTCAGAGCACTTTGATCGATATACTTTAGGAGCTTCATGGGGACGACCCGAATCCATTCAAGTTGCGCAACTTCCACCTGCCTTTCTGGACAGCGCCGTTCATTCTGTCCAGCCCTGAATCACAGGTCACTTTGCACACTTTCATGATCCTGACCAACGTCGGACATATAGCGGATGAATTCTCGTAATCAAAGTTTTTTAACTTCGCGCGTCCATTGGCATTTGCTACTCGTATGATGCGGAACTAAAGGTATCTGAGAGCGCGGCTCTAGCAAATAAATCCCATTCTGGGAGGTTGGCACCCGTGAGAGGTATGAGACGCTTATATCTGGAATTATTATAGCTCTCCAGGCTCACAGCCGAAGCGGACATCCTCATAAATCGTGGTTTGGGATTGTACGAGCGCAAAACAAGGGACCCGAGATGGCCGAAATAGCCTTACACCTTCCCAGAACGTGTCTCTTCAAGTCTCTAAAATGCATATGAATTTTCAGCTATCATAGAATAAGCCACTCATTGAGAAATGGCTCGTAAATAAGTTTTGAGGCGATCCCACCCTCAATTTGCTTCTGGATCCTGAAAAGCCACACTCAGGCTCGCCTTCGGAACCGCTGATCTATTTATACAACAACCCCATCATTAATATAGGCCGCCTGTAATGATCGCAAGAAGGATGATCTATACCTCGTGCCTGTCAACAATGAGTATACACCCTCTGCAAGGAATTTCGGTATTCCTCAGATCAATTGGGGTCCACTACGTTTACAAGTCACCCGATCCCTAAGTATTGGCAAAAATAGTGCCCAGGTACTTAAATCAGCGCGTCGCGTAGATTCAAATATATATTAACATTGCCCCGCCAACGATCTTGTCTATGAACGTGATTACAGTGCGATCCCTTCATACTTTTCCCAGAACATCGAGATTTATGATGTTTTATGTCTTCATCATCTAGGCTGGTTCGCGCATTTTCTTCTATGACTCGACGGGACGAATTGTGAGAGGCGTTGTCGAGAATACAAGTCGTATGGCGGATGTGAGGATTGTATTTTGAGAAGAATATATTTCAGCTGACATGCTACAGGGTACTCAGATAGTGCTCGTCAAGTGCGACAACGGGCCGACCATAGTGTTACCGTAAGAAGCTCATCCGTCTTTCGCTCGCTGACATCTCATGACCATAGATCCGCAAGCGTTTTTCGTGGTTAGCGGCAGAAAATTGCCATGAAGAAACCTGCTGGAGTCATCTCGTGTAGAGCCATGGCAACAGAAAGCTCGTATTACCAGACTGAAATGTGTGCTTGACTTGTATCGCGGTGCTCAAGTTTGAGATACCGCGAGGAACCTGTTTATATAGTGAAAATATTCGCCATTGATTCGTTATGACTGGGCCCAAGTGAAAGAATTACATGACTCAGTACCTAGACCCCATATATTTCATCTGAGTAATATTGGCAGCGGAAAGATGCCCGTCAGAAGGAAGCAGCATGCGGTCTCTGTACAGTAGCTAATACAATTATTCGCGGGCATTCACTTATTCAGCAAACAACGCGGTGAAGTCTGACGAAAAGGTCTGGACGTACGGGTCTCTGTAAGCCTTTGGCGCTCCAGAACTCATTTTGATTACCACAACGATGAAGTGTACTGTCGGAATATAAAGATGAGCACGGCTTTCATATGAGGATCTTTTATAGACCATGAGGAGGCCTCAACGGCAGTCTCCGACAGGTCCGTTATAAGGATTAATGCCTATGTTCACAGGTGTTCGAGTGCATATTGAGGAAAGATGACTCAAAGGAGTTGATAGAATCCAATCCAGACCCAAATTAATCGTCTACCGGTAAAGAAGTGGTTAATGTCGGTAAATACAACGCTGTGCCCCATACCTAATATGAGGGGGCCAAATTTTGCGTGATAGTGGCATCACAACACCGGTGGCTAGAATCGCCAATTTGCTTTCCTAGTTCCTTCCGCTTCGTTCCTATTTTTCCTCACGAGACCGAAACAGATAGCAATACAAATATCAGCATTGTCACAATGAACGACTATCTAGTCGCGTTCTTACTGCTTCCAGGTACAGCTAGTCGACGAGCTTTAATCGCGGCTACGCCGTTACAGGGACACAAAGTTTGCACGGAATAGGAACCGAAAGAGCCGTTTAACATCTTTGTTGTGTCAGAAAATGACATATCTAAAAATGGTTTAAATCAGTCGGAGAAGAGGTACAGATGCGTGCCCAATATGGTGACGATTCTCACTCAGCCTCGCTTGTGCTAGAAAGAGAACATTAGCAGCGACACAATAAAACGGGTGATACTGGCGCACTGTTGGCGAGATGGTCCCCAGCTTCTTAGTCCTCGCTAAGTCTGACTGTCCATCAGTAAACAACGATGTAGGAATGCCAGCGCGCTGCTTGCCGAATCATATCGAAGCACCTAATACACACTCAGCTCGAAGTTACCTGATCGTACAGTCAGTTGACACATCTTATTGAGCCTCATCGATGTAATACATCGTAGTCAACAGTGTCGTTTCTGGCATCATTCAGCTCAGTTCCGAAAGATCCAGCTGTCTGCAGAGTGATCAGATTATAACCATTCGCAACGAAACCCCCTGCCACCGAAGCCGGCGGTGGGTGAGCAGAGAACACTCAGAATCCAGCGCGTCATAGAGAATAACCTAATCATTGTCCAGGACTATGCACTGAGCTGACAGCTTGTCCGTTGGATCTAGGTCGATAAAAACGATTTGACTGCAACCAAAGCGCATATATACTGGAAAAACGGTGTTCAATGACGAGGCCACCAGAGTACGAACCTGATAACACACTATTGTTGTCCAAAGCTACAATAAACCCAGAGACTGCACAGTCACCTGTGGGTTCATCCTCATCTCGAGTCATTCACCTGCACTGGGCCATCAAATCGTCTTTACCAAGGAAGAACAACATCGTACATACCCAGGTTGTAGTATAATCGTCAAGGAAAGAATACAATACTTTGAGGGGAAGCCACCGGTAGAATTAAGCACTGGAATCGTCAACGAGAGACAGGAAGGAAAGGGAACAAGCGGTCGCAGTTTATGCAGCCCTCAAACAGGACCAAACTAGATCACGTGACTGACGCGTCGCATCCCCGATTCCTAAGATCTTCGATCAACTATGTCAGCGAGATAATTTATATTCCCATAGAATAGAAAATCTCTGTAGAGGTCGCGATAGTCTCTCCGTTCTCCTGCTGGTGGAAGAACATATCAGTGAGGTCAGAGAAACGATGCTCTATTGCGTGCGAAGTACCTTGTTCATTGTCATTGGACACCACAGAATGTGATCTTCTGAAAAACAAAAAGCTTGTAAACAGTAATCAATAATGACTTTCGGTTTAAATTTCCGAATTCGACCTTGTTCCCATTGATGATGAAGATTTATTTAATGAGCAGTAAGAAATGGGGGGGCAGCGAACGGAACTCTTTGCTATAAATAATATCCCCCCATATGCAAGGCTTAGCCCAAACTGGACCCTGACAGGTCGAGGGCTTGGCTCGCACGTGGATTTTTGCTTGGACTGGGGTTCGAGCCTAAGCCGGACAAGTCTATTTACGTTTATGTCCATATTTTGAGAGCGCGAGACCCCGGCCTGTCGCATATTATATCTCCTCGTTCCAATTATCACATGCGCCTGATGCCCCGGAGAGAGATACCTCTGCAGCCGTTTTAGATGCCATGGAGACAGAGCCTATTATGTTAAAGACTCCGAATCCTCTTTCTGTAATTCGTCACCATCTGAAGATGTTAATCCAGCAACCCAGCTGTATTAAAGTTTGTTCCGTCCCGTACTGATCTACGTTCCTATTACCCAATATCCATACACCGGCACCCTTCCTGACTTTCCTGATCCCCGTTATATATGATATCGAACAGAGGCACGTGGCAGTACAGTTATAACAAAGCGTGATCGGACATGTATTCAGTGAGCGCATGTACCATTTTATCTGCGCAGTGGGCGAGATTTAATTCTTTGGTTGGTGACTATGTCTGGCGCAACGGATATCCGCATCAGAGACCGAGCGGCTGATATACTGACTCTTACCGAGTTCAATACATTCATATATCTGTGCCAAGTAACAACAACGTTGACGACAGTACTCAATCCGGTCGCTTCAGCATACGTGTACATGTCTTATACTGCATGCAGCGTTTATTATGCGTATCGCCATCCGCGTCGCCTGGGATACAACCCCCTTATCTTAGAGACGAACCAGCGGTCCTTCGGGTAAAAGTCTCTCAGTGCGTTTTAGCTTCCTGGGAGGCTAAGCACTTCGTGAACGGTACCGACAACCCATGACGACATAGGTTCATTCTGAATTGATTTTCAGCGGTCTGCGTGAGGGTTACGACGGCGGGCTCTATAGATAATTCATTTAGCCCTCATTTCCCTGTCGCATACCTTAGGTACAAGAATGCTGCCTCCCGCAACCGGCTGCCCCCTCTTTGCAAAATACCAGTATTAATCCATTACGGGAAAGATCGTGCCCAAAAAAAATGCCTGTCTCCCAGGAATATATACACAATCAATCTATCCCTGACCCTGATATATTCGGAAGGACCATAGGATTATCCTTAATACAATGATACGCTCCGTTTAACCACGTTCAAAATCTAACCGTGGAAAAAAAGAAACGGGTTGTTGCAGGTACTTAAACCAGCGCGTCGTGTACATTGAGGCAACAGTTAACATTACCCCCACCAACTATATCTTCTATGAATGTGTTTCCAGTGTGTTCTCGTATCTTGACTCTTTTATGACGCAATCGAGATTTACCGTGTCGTTCTCCACCCTCTAGGCGGGTTCGCGTGTCTTCTTCTACGCTTCGAACGGAAAGCTCGTGAGAGGCGTTGTGGAGTCCACGAACCGTATGGCAGACGTGAGAGTTATTCTTTCGAAGAGCACATATTTCGGCTGATGCGCTATAGGGTACGCAAATGGTTCTCGTCAAGCGCGACGATGGAGGAAGTATTACTTTACCGTAAGTAATCCACTTTCATAGAGATGACTACCTAACTTTCCATGGACATAGAGCTGCTTCTGTGTTCAGCGGTTAGATGCAGAACGCGATAAGAAGAGTGACTAGCACGGGCGCCATTGCATGGAGACCTAGGGCTGTTTATTACCATAACCTAGAATGCTTATTAATTCCATATGAAACGAATTAAGAAGGAAAATCCATGAATATTCTGAAGAGGTATTCAACGAAAGTAAAGTAAGTACTTCCGCTTCTTCGGGAACAAGATTGAAACCCGCTCCTTCAGTTTCCACAACCGATTACAACCAATGGCGATGATGTTGCATAAGGGAGTGAATTACGAAGCAACAAGGAACCCCTGATAGCAAACGAGAAGGGTGTTCCATTCTACATACAGATTTATATACTACCTTTAAGAGAAGCTACTAGAATGTTCGAGCAAAGACAAGAAATTCAGCTGAGTAAAGCACAACCCAATACTTACCATCCAGACGGTGAGACTGGAGAGTCCAGACGATAGCTGGCTCCATTCATAATTAGTTGATATCATCATGGTACGCAGCATGGCATGTCAGTGGGACCCAAAAAAGGGGTTTCCGAAAGCTAAATCCTCGGCGCCGTGGACTTGGACGGTCAGTCCTCAGCACTCGCAAGAACAGGAAAGTATTTTCGAGAAAGAGGCTTCTCAAGCGAGTCATGGCACAGTATATACCTATGGTGTCTCCATTTATTTGCCCTACCGGTAGTAAAATGGTTAACATAAATAGATAATCATACAGACGAAGTCATGACTATCCCTGGACTGAGAATGAATACGACACTCAGGACAGGTAGACAGTCCATACAAATATAAGAGTCCTTGGCATATTCGCTCATTGAAGGGAGAGAGATCGGGTGCTCAGAGCCGTCAGATGTATACTGAACCGCTTTGTAATTACACGGGTTCGGAGCATATTTATTCAAAACGGTGATTAGCCCGCAGCAATATGGTTACAAGGGCAGAAAGTGTACATTCAATGCGGAACAATCTGATTTCCTCTCAAGAAAAGAAAGTGACGCAATTCGAATCCGTCAGAGAAAAGGCCACCATCAGGATATACTCCCACTTGGCGGAGTCATTTTTCAGGAAACGATGTGCTGCGGTAAGGACATCAATGAAAGGGGTAATTCCAACGAGGGAAAAGATCAAAAATCTCGGTGGAATACACTCGTATCGGGCGTACATTCTCCGAAGTAGCAAATATAGATGACATATCATCATAGGAGGGGCGGAGAATTCCATACTTACCTCGAGCCATAAAGAGAACATCAGCTTCTCTCCCGAATATGACCCAAAGTGGAGCCAGGAAAAAGCAAATTATGGATAGAACTGGGACGCTCAAATACCCACACAATGCGCAGTATATGAAAATATTGAGGAACAAAACTCAGGTTGTTGAATGATTGTCTCCTATGCACTCACAACGGCCTAGGAAAGAAGAGCTGGAACGAGAGGAATGTGGCGACAAATTACAATGATTCGGAGGCGCTCACTACTTGACCATAACGTTCCTAGTGAACATCGCATACGTGCTGGATTATTAACGTGTCATCAATATCACTTTTGAGAGTCATCGAATACGGATGGAACTGCAATCTTCGAAGTAAGGAGTCCGGAAATCGACGGGACCTAGCTGGTGAAACTCGGAATTTCAAATAGACCAGGCAACGAGACGCGGAGCCGAAGCAAGTCGCAATAGTATCCTCAGTCTATCTGAGCGTTACCATGGATCACCGTTCCTCGCACATATTGTTCGTTGATATCCTCTGAGCTCAAGCGTGATACGTTTATTTGGTCAAACAGATTTCCAACTTGTCCTCATCATCGGTGAGGTGCGTTTTTATCGCCTAGAGGGTCTCGAATGACTAACGCGCCACGGTCAACCAGCGCCTCACGCCTGTGACTAGCGCTCTTCTCACAAGATGGACGCAAGATATAATGCAGGCGTCATGGGGAGGAATTCCACCTCGGCCCTGTGGAAGTGTACACATGCGGTGTCTTAACTTAGGGAATCCTGTCCGCTTGATCTTTTGTCGTACTGAATTTTTTCATGTACAGTGTGGTGGCGAAAATGCCTTTCGATCCATTTCGTGTTGAATATGCAGTCGTTCAAAGACATGCAACCGCGCCAAAGCCAGAGACGGAACCTCTCATCTCGGAGACCCTCGCAAGCTTGGACAGTATTTCCTACGATTATTGACTATATATGCTGACGAAGTGTGGTAGTTCGATGTTCGATTGTCCATCCGAACGGAAGTGAGGAGAATCGCTGCTTGTTTGCAGGAACCACACCTCGAGAGTTGACGGAAGTGATGTGGATGGTATCGCCGTATTTCGCTTGGTTGGTCAGTCTTTCGCGAAGCCAACTCATTTTCTCCAACTGAATCAGTACGTGGCAAGGCGTTTTCTGATAGTTCACCTCGCGAGACTGCTGGCATGAGCTCGAAGGACATGGAAAACCCATCAAACGCAATTCTGATGCACAAGGATCTCATCTCATACGTTGATGATGAGGCGTTCGGTGTTGACATCGACGTATGTCTCTCACCCCCTTGGTATTCCATTTTCTCACGTGTTCATGCACAGGACAACTACCACATCGTGATATTCCGGGAGATGGGATCAGCGCGAGGACTTCTTCCTACTCGTATGCCACGAAGACAACACGATGCAAGCTTCGAGCTATTCCTTCGAGGACATTTTAATAGCTCCCTTCGAGCAAATATTCTCCATGGTGACACCAGGGAGGAATACTCTTCGGCAGCCATTCTGAAAATGATGGGAGAACTTGAGGTGGAGCAAGAGGATGAGGATGAATTGGCACCGATGGGCGATCCATGATGGCAGACGATGCTCTGGAAACAGATATGGGAGGATGTTTTGCGGCGGAGAATTGCAGAAGCAGATGATAGCTATGATAGTGAAGAGTATGACGAAGACGGCTAGTAGTCCTTATTGAAGTCTCTTTGCTTTCGGGAGTACACTCGAAAAAGGGTGGATTTCTATGAAACGGGAAGACTACTGAATTAATGTGAAAGTTAACCATTCTCCTCGTGATTCCCTATGAGAGTTACGCGAAGAATTTAATTGTCCGTTGATGGTGATGAACACTGATGGTATCTTCAAGGACCTGTTGACGAGTGTGCAGGAAAAAGTAATTCTAATGGCTCCCAACAGTATGAAAAGGTCAAAAGGCCATAGTTCGAAGAGAAAACTAAAGTCGCGCTCGCGGCCATTTCCTTTGCATATTTGAAGGGCAAGTGAACCAGCGAAATGTGGTGGGAAGAACATTCATTCGTTTCTCCGTTGATGCCCTTCTGTTGTCAGAAGTCTTTGCTATTCGGACGGGAGACAGCAGAGCCCCGTAAAGGTGAAAGTTGTGAACATTGGAAATTGGACGAGGACGGGACGCGTCGATCACGTGGAATGTTTGATTGTTCTTATTTACCGCATCAGCCTTGCTTTTTTTCCCCTTCTTCCTTCTTCCTGCCTGGCTTCGACGTTCCTCAATTCTATACGCTCCGCTCGAACCCACGGTTGGCCTCGACTCGTTCTCTCGACCGTCGTTCACTGGGCATGGATTATCCATGTTATATGCATGTTACCGTTCTTGAGAAGGACGTGGCCGGAACCAACGGTTAAATGACCTGGAAGGTATCGGCGGTGCTGGTTCGTCAGCGATAGCCTGGGATGATGCCCTTCTTAGGACAATGATGTGAGTGCAGGCGATCTTATATTCGACAGACAGACGTTGATTGAGCCTTGTTTCACCAGCCTAACATGTGTATAGGCAACTGTTAATTCTAATCGGGTTGCTGTGTGGATGATGACGTGCGTTGTAGCCATGGCACGGGGATACGGATTGACTTACTTATGATTAGGTAGCTGAGAGCTCAGGCGTCGTTCGTCTTCTTCGTCTTACGTCGGTACGTCAATGGTGCTGGATGCAGGTCGAGGCTTCGATCATAGATCATTGTGGATTGCTATTACGGTATTGGAGGTGTGCTCACTCATTTTCCTTCGAGCCCCAGATGGGACTGACTCTACGTTTGGGTAGTTCCGAGCGCGTTGCCGTGTCATTCATATCTCTTAAGCCCCAAGAACCGATTTGTTCATTGATGTACGGAGCTCTATAGGTCGAGCCTTCGTCACCAGGCTTCGCCTTGCTTCGTGTTATGCTTTCAATGTGGGTTTCTTTCTTAACAAAGGCCTCTGATGAATTGCACATTCCCCTTGCATTTGACGGCCCCGTTGGGCTGGATGCGCGAAGCTGCTGCGTCCGGAATCGTTTTTCCTCCTGAGATTCATTCTGTTCTCGGCCTTTTCAACGACGCTAACGACGTTATTCTTAGATCCCTGCTTGTTACTGATGGCTTCTTTTTAAGATGTGGGACGCTTCATTTCCCTTTCCTATGATGACACATCTATATTTGCTACTTCAGAGGGCTAATGCTCGATGAGACCATTTTTCCACCAAGATCTCTGATTTCCTTTCCCCTCTCCTTGTCTTTATGTAATCTTGTACTGATGATTGCGATGTGGGACCTCACCTTCAGACGAAACAAGTGATGGCTTTCGGTTAGGCGGATTCAGTGTCGGTCGGCCCAGGTTAATAATCTTCAGTAGAACCGTTCCCTGCTCTGTGTCCCAGCGCTGTGGTGTATGATGTTGACGTTTCTTTAGACGTTGTTCTGCCTTCGCTTCTTTGGCAAGGTTATAAGGCTGCCTTTTTGTCATGTCTATTACTGATTGGAGTTTATCACCAGGTTCGTCTGCCTGTGGGATGCCCATCACCGGAAAACTGAAATGTTCCATTGGGGAATCGGTTTGGATGTTGTATTTCTCAAGCGCTTCATCCTGGCTGCACCTTTTCGGTCCGGCCAAGCGTAATCATTATGATAGGTATCTATGTTATCTTTGACAAAACATTGATAATGAGACAAGGTCTTCATCCACCGTCAGGGTCCGATAACAAGTGACTTTCCTCCGTCCTTTAATCGACAATCCTGAAACGTTTGCATCGTCAATACGAGAAAAAGGAATGAATGAAAGGTGCAGCATGATTTCTTTGTTGATCATGCTTAGCCTTCCCCTGTCCGGCCTCGTCAGTACCTTTAAGAGTAGTGTCCCGCTCCGGACCAGGGACCAATGCGACTAGTGTCGATGATCCTCAAGTTCACGCGATTGTTTCTAACACAGGCTTAGTCAGTGAGGATCTTGAAGGATGGCACGATTTTGGACGATATTCTTCTAAGGCGCTTTTTCACCGTCGTTACTATCTTGGATGGCGAAGCTGTTCTATTCGCTCATTTTTTTGGAAGACATTGGTGACTGCTTTTGCGATTATACTTGCCGGTCAATCGTTTACGATTTAATCTGATGATTCGATGCATATTTATTTCTAAAGTCCCTTTTTTCAAGGAGGTTCCCAACAGCAGTCTTTGTCTTGGAACCACTTTGGCGTCTTAAGAATATTCGGTGTGGGGCCACCCTCCATGAGGTGCGAGAGATTAGGTTTGGCATGTATGCCGATCAGCTTCGTCAGCTTACTCACGTGACCTCCCGGTACCGATGATATTATCTAATGTATGTACTTGTATGGATGAGACGTAATGCGCAACGCTAGGGCGGCTTCGTCTCTGGGTTTCATCATCCGTAACGCCGGGGGCACCGGTCTCATCCATACAAGTACTGACCAACTACTTTCTGATGCTACCTGAGGCATCTGCTGATAATTACAATTTACGTCGTATCATACTCGTGTGCAGTTAATGAATAATTTCGTATTGATTTTCTCTCCCGTGCTTATCCACTCAGGTCTACCAGAACACTGTTAGAAGTGTCGGACACAAAATTGGGCATTCCTCGAATAGAAACTCGATGTTTACGTACATGGCGTTCAAGTTGATGTGTGCCTTCTCTATTAATAATATGTTCTTGTGTCTTGCGCAGCCTGGCTGTGAGATTTTAAGCTACGAGCATGGTAAATATCTGATAGACTCTGCGCTGGTCTTGGCGCGGCTTAGCTCTAAGCGCAGCTTTTTTTGAAGGGTTGTTCAACGTCATATTCATACAAACTACTGCTGGCAATATGATCCGAGAAGCGCAGGGACTAGATCTGCAATTGATTACTACCTATCTATCGAAACTTTAGGTTGCAGAGCGCGTGACCATGTCGACACGGGTCGATTGAGATTATCATTGCTTGGACGCGTAAAATTCTCAATGCATGGGGGTGTAAGGTTCACCGAATATGCGTTTGAATTCCCCCTTAGACCAGGTAAGCCTACCTCGTGGGGAGTATGACGAAATTCGAGTTACGAATGCGACTTACGGAGGTTTAAGTTTAGGTGGTGGTCCTAAAATAGACTACCCGTGACTGAATTATTGGGCCAGCATTTGCACGGAAATACTATATATGGACTACATTCGCGCAAAATACCAATCACGTAGTTTGATCGGAAATTTTCCCAAAGCAATTGAACAATGTCTTGGAATTGAATTGCCACCACGATTCTCCTGTTTTCTTTCTGCTTCTTTCCTCCCTTGCTTTATATCCTGTATATCTTTCGCTGTCTACATTGCTTGAGGTTCATTGGAATCGCCACTCGGGCGTGTTCGTGGTAGCGTTACCTGCAAGTGTACAGAATGGGTGCATGTTTCTCTTCTCGGCGCTTCGAGGTCACGGATGCAGATAGAGCTTTGCATAGGAAAGCTGAGAAGGAGCTCAAGCAGGTATGTTTGCCATCCAGCTGAGCATATGTGTTATACTGACAAAGAACACTGTCAGGCAAAGGCAAAAATGGCGATGCAAGTCAAGGTAAGTGTCCCCTAATTCTGTCCGTATTTCTGCGGCTTGACTATTGCTCGTAGGTTTTGCTTTTGGGTTCTGGAGATTCTGGGAAATCAACCGTGCTGAAGGTGCATTTTTCGCTCTGTCGTATTCCACAGTATTTTATTCATCATCCGCGATAGCAAATGCGTCTTATCCATAAAATACCGTTTTCGCCTCAGGAAATTGAGTCGTACCGCCAGCTCACGTTCGACAACCTTACCTCCGGCTTGAAGTGCACCCTCGATGCGATGGAGTACATGGATCTCAAGGTTTCCGAGGACAACATTGGATATGTGGATCTCATTGACAGTGCGCGGTATTTGAAGGACGGAGAGCCGTTCCCAATCGAATACCACGAGCCTCTCAAGGCTCTGTGGGCTGATGCTGGCGTTCACAAGGCATGGCAGAGAGGGAACGAAGCTGCCTTGCCCGAAAAGTATGTCAGCCTTTCTACATCTCTTCCCCTCGTCGTTCTTAAAAAGGCTAGCTTGGAGTATTTCTTCTCGGATCTGGATCGCCTGTTCGATCCACATTATCAGCCGACGGAGCAAGACATTATACAATGCCGCGTTCGGACAATCGGAATCAAGGAAACCGTCTTTTCTCTTCGGGAACACGAGCTCACTATGGTCGACGTCGGCGGACAGAAATCCGAACGGCGGAAATGGATACATTGTTTTCAGGATGTGACGAGCATCTTGTTCCTTGTCAGCCTGAGTGGGTACGATCAGTGTTTGGTTGAGGATAAGGATGCCGTAAGTCATTATAGCATTGTGTCATCTATCACCGCTCAAACACATTGTGATGATAGAACCAAATGCAAGATGCCATGACGATATGGGACTCGATATGCCACTCGCAGTGGTTCAAGTACACTTCGATTGTACGTTCCTACCACCTCCCTCCGGTGACGCCGAGGTTTACCTCCTTCGTTAGATCCTGTTCTTGAACAAGAATGACCTCTTCGAAAAGAAGGTACCTCATTCTGATATCAAAAACTTCTTCCCAGTACGTGATGTGATATGATACTCTCCCGCGCCATTCCTCATCGGCGTCCTATCCTAGGATTTCGATGGCGATGCTGGTGATGTCCGTGCAGGTCGCGATTATTTCAAGCGTCGCTTTTCGAAACTGGCTACTAAGGCTGGCAGGTATAAGGAGAGGGAGATTTATATACAGTGGGTTTGGCGCTTCTTTGATTGGGAGGTACTGATGTGTATCTCGCAGCATAACGACGGCGACTGATACCGCTATGCTTCGTGTCGTAATGGCCGCCGTGGAAGGTACGTTGTAGTCTATTCTTGTTTTTATATACTGACATCCCCCCACCCCTTTTAGAGTGAGTGCATTTTCCCCTTTCCATCCCCCCTTTCATTCCTACCCCTCTTTGTCTGTCTAGCATCGTCCTTCGGACCAACCTTGCGAGCGCGACGTTGCTCTGAAAATCTAGCTTCGTTCGTCTTTTTTTGCCTGTGCACAATCTGACTTTTTTGTCTTTTCTCTCGCTCTCCTCGATCCTCAGTTCTATCATCTCTAGTAACGTAAGTCGCCTTCGTGTCTCTCAGTGGCCTATCTGATCTTTCGACAGATCCGCGCTGCTTTGTTTTGATATATCCATTCGCTGTCTGTACTATCATATGTTTTGTCCATCTATCATCAATTCTATCATTATTCGACATTTTCAATCCTGATGGAGTGGCAGGCGCTGTGCCTATGAATAAAGGAACGTTCCCTTCCTGCTACAGCAATGACGAATGTTTCTCTCATGTACAGCCCCATCTCCTTGCTCCTGTTGTTTTTTTTTTTGTCGCCACGACCATCTGTAACTTTGGTGCAACTGAAAAGATAGAACTGCGTCGGGCGAAAGTGTCATTCGTCTTGAATATCACTTCTCGTTCAAACTATGACGAGTTCCCTAGCTCCACAGCGGCCCTTTGTTTTTCGGCCTCTGCTGTTGACATTCTGCTGCTCTCTCAATCTCCCCCGAACGAAAAGTGACCAGAAGATCCCTATGTGAGTTTCGTGTTGTTTCCTGATAATACTTCCCATGAGACCCCCTCCCCCCACCCTCCGATTTGAGAAAGCCGCGGTTTTAAGCAACGTGCCGTGGCCGGTAGTCGCATCAGAGAGTGGGGGTTTAACGGTCACGTCGGACTTTTTTGAATTATTCAAGAGAAGGCATCAACAAGATTGAAAGATCTCTGATGCCTGGCCATCAGACATAATCCCCTCACGCCGAAAACGAGGTTCAGCAACGTGAAGGTGATTCCCCGCTGTGAGCAGTCCGATGGCTCGCTGAGCGTTACGATAGAGATTCGTGAAAGCGCGTCCAGATTCTGCGAGATCTGGGTCGGACCATCAAAGCCAGCGAGATAGGATGGTGTTAGAGATCTTGTCATTGTGACTCCCAAGTCGTAGGGTCACCTGGACGGACGATGCGGCACACTAAGCCCACTCCCCTACCCCCGGGACGCTTCAACGCTTCTCTCCCATTTCGATGCGATATCGTTCATATCTGCTACTTCAGATTCTTTTTCCCTTGACCCGTCTAGGTGTAATCTTGTAGCAATGCTTGCGATACAGAACCCCACTTTGATCGAAACACGATGGCTTAATAAGACTCGTGTTCGAAGGGTAAGCGCCGATCGGCTGAAGGAAGTAATAATCTTCAATGGAAGCATACCTTGCTCGTTCGCTGGTATCCTCTACTACTCGTTCAGGGCCTCACGGTGATGAATCAAACGATGTGATAGCAATGAACCCGCCAAAGTAGGAAAACAAATGGTGAATTGGCAAGGAGTGACGTAGAGATTTCCAGTTCCGTTCGTCTGGAACCCCCACGCGACGTGTTGTGGTCTTCATTTAGACGCTTATCTGACCTCGAAGAGGCACGTCTCCGGAAAGGTGATGCGTCTGCTCTACGTTATCATCTCTTACGGATACGATAACATCGCCAGGCACGCATGTTCAGAACTGGAAAAATGAAGTCATCTGTTCCAAGATCAGTTTGGATGTCCTTTTGTTTGTAACTCCATCTTTGCGGTCGGGCCATCTATTTCGATTATACGTGTAAATTATACAATAGCGATCTATGGTTTCTTTCGTGAAGGATCCCCGATGGAGCCCGGTCTTGGCAGTACTCTATCATGAGTCCTGACGGGTCTGAACTCAACGTTGACATTTGGTGTCAGTGTGCGCCCGTAGTCTGCGATTCATATTGGTTGATTTCCACACCGTTGCAAGTGCCGATTCAACCAAATAACAACAGACATTCCTGCGTTGGCGTTGAAATTGGTGTATATGGCCGGCGTAAAAGCTCTGCTTGAAAGAAGATAAGAATCTGCCACTTCCGCGGCGTCAACAGAATCATATTCGTCCAGATCCTAATTCCTGATTTACTGAGAGACTGATTTCCAGTGTTTAATATGCGCCATAATGAATGAGCAAGGGACGGGATTGAGAAAGTTTCCATATCATACACGTACGGGTTTTTTCTTTGAATATGGATCCTAACCTTTTTGGTACAGAAAGAACACGTCCGAGGGCGTGAATTGAAATACGTTTCGGGGAGCTGAAGTGATGCATCTGTTATATATGCTACTCTTACAAGGCTATCGTTACAAGCTTCACTCCACGGACTAGACCGCCGATTTATCAGAACCGGAAGAATGTACTAGGAGATATGCCCATACGAAGATCTGGTACTATTCAAATTGCGCTTCATAATGCGCCCCTGAACAAAGGTGTGAATGAAACATAAATCACATATTGTGTTTGTATACAAGTACATAGGTTCTCTAACTTGACGACGCATCTAACCTCAGCGATAGACGACGAACACGTTTACCCCACCGGCGGGGATGTGAATTACGGTCTGGAAGATCTGTCCAGGACGGTCTCGGGCTGGGGTTGATGAACAGACCGGGTAGGAGGAGGAAGAGGTGAAGGATGAACAGGTCAAGCAAGAGGAAGTGCTCAGTGCGCTGTTCCTCGTGATACTGGAACCGGTATAAGTAGACCTCGAGTCAGAATTAGCGCGATTACGGTCGGTGCTCCGACTAGCGTTGGACGGAGGGGATTGGCTAGTGTAAGGAACGAAAGCAGACTCGGAGGCCTGGTTTCGCCCATGGTTGTAGGGAAAGAGGGCGGTGCTGGGGTCGCTTCCCGTGTTAGATGCGGAACGATTTATTCCCGCGACAGCGGGGTTGTAAGGGACTAAAGCACTGCTGGGCTCTTGGCGAGGTGGATGGTATGGGGAAGAACCGCCATTCGGGAGAGAATGACGCCGGGAGTAAGCAGATGTCGGGTTCGAGTGGTGGCTATGAACGGGGGGGTACACGGGGGCAGGAGGGTATGTCGGGCTCTTGGCGTTGTGGTATGGTTGGGCCAACGCAGGAACAACGCGGTACTCGTTCACGGTCGGGGCGCGGTTATGAGATGGCAAGGAGTGTTCGTAGTAGTTCTGATACATAACTATGTCGCGGAAGGGAGAATCGTCGATCGACAGTTTCTCAATGAAGCTATTCAACTGACCTTGGAAAGGAGCTGAATTCCTGTGGTTCGGAAGGGAGAGAGGGCATGCATATATAGGATTTCAACGGGTCGCATTTGCCGCGGTTGCCTGACAGCATGAGAGACGAGATGCATGGACATCAAGAACGAGGCATTTGATTAGCGCTGTTGGAGGAGAAAGATTCCCATGTCCCTATGGTATTCTTGTACTTTCACGGATCCTTGATATGCTGAACCGGCCCTTATATCATAGGCTGTGTTTGGTAGATCTCGGACCTATACAGAATACATGTTAGCCAAGAATTTCTCAGATGCTCGGACTGGTGATAATAAGCGATTGAGGAAGGAAGAAAAAAGGAGCGTCCAAAGTAACTACGGGATCACGTGAATATTACGGCAAGACGTCATGGGAAATTTCAAAATCGAACTAAGTCGGGAAACTTTTGCGGAACCAGTTGAACAGATGGGACGAACAAAACAAGAACGAAATCGAGTCGGGCCACAACCACGGATTTTAAAAGAAGATATATATAGCTGTGATCGTTAGACTCATAGTGAAACTCTGGCCGATATCTTGATTTTATTGGGGATTCGGTCAACGATCTTGAACAAAGAAACGTACTTGCTGATGGTAACTTTGTTAGATCAATCTGGGCAAGGTAACTACTCATTCTGATCACAAGAAAGAAAAATACAAGTCCTGTAGGTATTACAAATCAATCATCGGTGGTATTATCGGATCGCTTCCAGAACTTGTATTTCCTCCGCGAATCCTTCCTCCCATAATAGTTCAAATACTGCACCTTGAACGAATGAATATTGTTCTTTCGATCGTAGATTTTCACAGAATATGTGGCAAAGACTGATCATACCTGCAGGCTAAGTCTTTCCGGTGGTAGCGACGCGAAACGCAAGGCTAAAATGCGCCTATGGATCTGACTTGCGGTCGATCCCACTATTCTAAATCCAAAGGAACAAGACACCGCATTTATTTAAATATTCCGGAGATATGGCCAGAAAGCCATGAAATTTTGTAATATTCTGTCCTACGAAGATAATTAGCTGTCGGACAGATCATTTTCAGGATGAAGTGAGTGTCTCACGATCACATTGTTTTCTTCTACTCTTGTTCTCACTTTGTCAGCGCAGACATGTAGTGACTTCAGACCGCGGTAAAGAGCCAAGACGTCTGACATGGGATGGTCCAAGCACCATGATCCGCTATTGCGGGGCTCAATTCCAACTGTCGTCAAGGGGAATTCAAAGTGATAACGGTTGGAAGGAGGGATGCGATATGGATATCGTCAGATGTCGAGCCTGCACACACGCCAAGTGACAGTTCGCGAAGCCTTGTATAGGAAAAGAGATACGACAGTAATGCCAAACTGGGCTTGGAATATGAGCCTGAGAGAGACACCAAGCATATTTCGTGCTCCTGAAATCTGTCCCAAAATTCATCGGGTATGGTTAATAAACGTGCTTAGGCTCTCCAGGTGACGCAAATGAGGTATGAGTTTGGGGATTTCGTGTGCATATAACTGGCCATACAAGCTGCCGCTTATCTTCAGCGCCTTTACAGTGCTGTACTTTCCTGGAGGCAAAGAGCTAAACAACAATGAAATCGATTATCCTTCCACCATATCGAGACCCCAAGACACCAGATGAACACAGCTATCCTCTCTATGTCTGAATTATAGCCAAGGAAAGTAATGAGCTCGTTGCTTCTTTGACCATAATACGATATTGCGGAGATGCTTGGATGTACGTCGAAGGCATCGACGTGTTCGATTATCTGCCTGCGCGCTGGCCAGGTTCTTTCACGCATGTTAAGGTGAGTTGTTACTTCAAAAGCAATCCTGTTCAATATTTCGTTGGGTATAGAGGGTAGCACTGCAGATGAGCGATAAAGATCACAAGGGAAGTTTGCCACAGAGCGAAAGGCGCCCAGAGACCGAACGAGTCAAAGAGACTGGCTTTCTTCAAGCTTGCAGTTCCGAGAGTTCGGTAATAAACGTCATCGTATCATCGAAAATGACCACCGCAGAGCTCGTAACAGTAACGCTGCACCTACAATTTTGTGCTGTTGCGACAGTTTATTTGCATAACATGAATAGCAAGTACGGTAGCTAAGTAGTAAGCAATGACACAGCAATGTAATAGCACGATATTAGGAAAACAGTGTAAAGCGGGGGATGACCTGAGAGTAAAACATGTATGGGTGATGTGAAGTAGAGAGGGTAGGATACCTGGCCAGGCATATAATTCGGATGTCATTCTCTGTTTTGAATATTTACTTATTTACTCCATCCTGAATGACTTTAGCTTCATCAGAGATGTGATCGTGACTTCTGTAAACAAACATCCGTCGGAATAATCCTTCCCCCCCCGAGGAGCCATTTCTCGGAAAGGTAACCTTCAATACAAATAGAGCGGCCGTGCCAGAGGACTAAATAGGTGGATGAATTAGGATACCTGGAGAAAGAGCAACCAAGTAAACATATCACTTGTGTCTTCCATTCTAGTTCATTTTGCCCTCTGTGGGGTCGTTAGGAGAGTTAGTAGCGCTACTGATTTATGTATGTGTGAATAATAGGAATAACGCACCTCATGGGCATAGGTGTTGTCAATTGGCACGTATCTTTCTGCGTATGATTATTTTGAGGCACGGCAAGGGCATCGTTTAAACGAAGAGAGCCGAATAAATTGTTCCCGATTTCTATTGGCGCGTCACGAATACTACCTACCTACCTAACATCTCCCATTTTAAGACTACCGAGATGAAGGATGGGGGCGATAATTCACGGTATAATTCAGATGTTCCGCTTGTTTGCGTAACGCAAGGCTAAGTGTCGATTTCGCATTGATAGTTCATTGTATCAGAGGAAAATATACAAAAAGAAAATATACAAAAAGAACTAAAATGTCTCTCTTGTCATGCTAGGTGCTACTACTACGCCTGGAATTCTTTGCACGAAGAAACATCCCTCCCCCAAAATATCTGCAGTTGCCTTCCGGCGGGTCATACGGGTCACGTCCTATGTACTCGATGTACTCCGTCCTGCCGATCTCAACAATATCCGATACGGCGCTCAAATGGAATTCAATAATGCCTTTTTCCTCTGTCCTGGGACTCCCATCTTCTTTGTTCTTGCCAACGAAAGCTTTGTACGCGACAAACACCTCCCTCGTCCATTCACCATCCTCGGAAGTTTCATCTAGGATAACCGGAGCAAGCTCCACATCGAACACTTCGCTGAGTCGGCTGTAGATGACAGCATCGA